TTCTCAAGAGCCCCTAGCTCCTCGTGCATAGCCACTTCCACTTTGGGTCCTTAGCAACCTGCCAATTGTTAGGTATAGTAACAGAGTCCAATGATACAATGAATGTTCTATGTGTAGGGTGAATGTTAGAATATGATACAAACTGGGTAAGATCCCAACCATATCTATCAGGAGGATTTCCCGCATTGCTGCGAGTAGTCCTCCGTACTGATATTGGAGTGGGAGGAGTAAGGATTGGAATGATATCACATTGGGAGGAATCTAGTGGTGGTGTAGGTGTCTCAAGAGTCGGGGCAGACGTTGTCAAGGGACTTGGCACCAGTGGCACTGTAGGTACTGTTCCTATAATTTGCTTCCCCTTCCTACTATAGGTAAGTAGTTCCCCCTGAACCGTGGGCCTAACACCTCCTTTCTCCTTCTCTTCTTCTTCTTCTTCTTCATTCTCCTGCTCCTCCTCAACCAATTCTCCGTCCCAAGGAATCGATAGAGAAATTGATTTCTTCACATTATTCTTTACATTGTTCACCTGCCTCTCACCATTCTCCCCCTCTCGCCTCATACTTCCAGTATCGGGCGAGTCACCATTGTTCACCTGCCTCTCACCATTCTCCCCCTCTCGCCTCATACTTCCAGTATCGGGCGAGTCACCAACGGATGAGGTTACCTCCCGGGTGTAATATGGCTCGAGTTCTCAAAAGTGCACATCCATGCTCACAAACAGCCTCTTCTCCACCGGGCTTCAGCAAACATATCCCTTCTGAGTAGCAGAATATCCCACAAAGATGCACTTCACCGTTCTAGGGGCAAGCTTCCCGACGGATTGCCTGTTGTCCTTCACAAAGCACACACAGTCAAACACCTTTAGTGGAAGAAGCCCACCATTATCTCCCTTCAACGTATCACACAGAGACTTCCAATCCAGCACTCTCGAGGGCATTCTGTTGATCAGCACCGTTGCGGTCAACACTGTTTGCCCCCACAATGTTTCTGGGACATTCACGGAGATCATCATACTTCTAGCAACCTCTAAAAGATGTCTGTTCTTCCTCTCCGCTACCCCATTCTGAGCTGGTGTGTATGAACATGTAGTCTGGTGCTGTATTCCCTGAGCTGATAAGTATTCCCCAAACGTTCTGTTGGTATACTCTGTCCCATTATCAGACCTCAATACCTTTACCACTGTTCCGTATTGAGTCTGAACATACCTATGAAAGTTTTGGAAGCAACCAAACACTTCACTCTTATTTTTTATCAAGTATAACCAAGTAACACGAGAGAAACAATCAATAAAGGTAACAAAATACTTGTATCCATTCATAGAACTTATGGAACAAGGTCCCCAAACATCTGAATGTATCAGGTCAAATGCACGAGAACTCCTATAACCAGAATTAACATAAGAGCTTCTAGTAAGCTTTCCAAAGTCACATGCATCGCACACAAGTTTCTGTTTATTTGCTTTCTCAAATAAAGATGGATACAACCTACTTAAAACACTAAAAGATGAGTGTCCCAAGCGTTGGTGATGAAGCATCAACATACTCTCAACACTCATCTCAGATCCTACTCCTGCTCTCTCTACCATATATACCAACGCTGAGTCCAGCCCTTCACGATCCAGGTACCACAGTCCGCTATTCCATGTGCTAGCCCCAAGTCTCCGTCCTGTCCCCATCTCCTGGAAGATCATCTTGGGAATGTCAAAAGAAACAATGCATTTTAGTTGGAGTATGATAGCACTAATGGACAAAAGATTGACTGAAAAGGAAAGAGCATGTAAAACATTGGACAAAGTTACCGAATCTGTACAATTGACAGTACCCTTACCAACCACTGGCTGAAATGTACCATCAGCTGTTTAGATACTATCAGCCGATGCTAAGTGAGTATATGATGAGAACTCACTAGCATTACCTGTCACATGTCGAGACGCACCGGAATCGACTATCCATTCTGATGACCTATCGGGAGACATAGAAGCAAGAGCATGTATGTCATCAGTACCTTTGGTCGGATGAGCATAAGTAGCAGTGTTGCCTTTGGCAAAGAACGAAGTGGATGCCTCCTCAGTCCCACTCCTCCTATCTCCATCTCCTGCTACTCTCTGCTTCTTCCTGAGTATCTCCAGAAGCGCATGATCCTCGTTAGCAAAGGCCACCTCAGGTGCTTCCTCTCCCTCTGCTACCATCAGATTCGCCTGGTTGCCTGCTCCTCTTCCACCTCGTCGATCCCCACGGTCACGATCACGACCTCCAACCTGTCCACGACCACCCGAATCTCCTTCCTTGGGTGGCTTGGTGAAAGCATGCCTTAGATGACCCACTTCACCGTAGTTGTAGCACTGCCGAGTCTCCCCTTTGGATCCAGTGTTGTTAGAGGCCGCCATGCTGACTTCACCACAGGAAGTCCACCTGTCTCTGTCTGCAGTTTAATGCGAGTCTCCTCCTGAATCATGGCCGAGACTGCCTCCTCAAGTGTGGGAATCTTTAGCTGAGCTAGCAGCAATGCAGTCCTCTGAAAAAACTCCGATGCCAGCCCCTTGAGGAACACCATAGTCCTCTCCTGTAGAAAGGCCTCTCGCTCCTTGCACTCCGGGTCCTTACAGCTCGCCCAAGGTGAGAAGTGATCATAATCTATCCACAGGCGCTCCAGCTCTATGGCATACCCCTGGACAGTCCTCTCTCCCTGAATTATGGCGTCGATTTCTCCATTGATCTGGAACACCCTCAGGTTGTTTCCCACCCCATCATAGGTCCTCCTCAACTTCTCCCAGACATCTATCACCTTCCTGATGCCATCTACTGTGGCGGCGATCAACTGGACCAATGAGTTGAGGAGCCAGATGTACACCAACATATGAGTAGACTTCCACTCATCTCTTCCAGCTGGGCCTTCAGCCGGCTCTGTCGTCTCTCCTGTCAAGTACCCCTCCAGGTTCCTCCTTGCAAGGGTGTATCTTACCCGCCGTGACTAACTTAGGTAAGTAGCTGGTCTATCAAGTTTCAGATCGATGGGTGGAAGCTCTAACTTTTTCGGTGGCCATGCCGCACTCTCACCAGCCGACAACTTCATCAACTGCATCAAAGTTGAGACCTCCGGGGGTTCAACTTCTTGATGATCTCCTTCATCGATCAGGCTTTAGATCAACTACCTGTTCTCCTTCCCTTGTTGTGCGTAGTGAAAAATTCGGCAGCACTTCTGCTGCACAACAAGAGTAGGATCTCAACTAAATTCTTGTTTCTCAAAGGAAACAAGAATCGACAGTGATATATCTCAACACCGTGAGATATACACTCTTCCTCTCATCAGTTCTAGGTCTGAAATGTCGAGGGAATCGAACAAGCTACACATTCTCTCATCAGTTCTATGACTGAGATGTCGAGGGAATCCAACAAGCTACACATCATCGGCTGTGGCTAGGGTTGCTGGCAGCGGGGTGCGAGGGGGTGCAGCGAGGTTTGG